GCAGCTCCTGCTGCCACGCTACCTACTACTGCCGCTCGTGTGCCACTACGGACAGTCGACCCCGCCCGCGCCTTGCCTAGCGGCCCCGCCGGCCCCGTTGACCCTCCGCACACCTTTCCAGCGGCCTGATTCCTACTACTACCATTACTACTGCTACTACTACTACTGCTACTGTCACTATGGCTAGTCCTCCAGTTCTAGCTTTCGATGCCGAGGGCCGTCCAGTGAAGTTCGAAACCTGGCTAGATGACCTGCACCTGTTCCTACAGCTCACTGCCAAGGAAGATATCTCACTGTACGACCACGCCCTAGGCCATGCCACTGCCCCTGACTCGTCTGCTGACAGCACTCTGCGTTCCCAGTGGCAGACCCGTGATGCGCACGCTCGCTTTGCTATTCGCAACTCCCTGCCGCTAGACGAGCGCGAGCACTTCGGCCAGTGCAAGACTGCTAAGGACCTCTACACCGCTGTAGTTGCCCGCTACTCCTCACCCGCTTCTGCCACGCTAGGCCGCCTCACTCTCCCCTACCTGTTCCCCGACCTAGCCTCCTTTCACACTGTCGCAGACCTCATCACCCACCTTAAGACTAGTGAGGCCCGCTTTCGCGCTGCTATGCCTGCCGAGTTTCTCACTAGCAACCCCCCCCCGCTCTGGATCACTCTCTACCACATCGTCACCCGCCTCCCTGACTCTCTGCGCGCAGTCAGGGACCACTTCCTCTCTCGCTCCCCCACTGAGCTCACTGTTGCCCTCCTCGAGAAGGAACTGCTTGCAGCTGAGGCGAGCATCGTCGCTGTAGGCACCCGTGTGCTCTTGGCACGGACGTCCTTGAGGACAGACAGGAGGAGTTCCAGTGTCTTGCTGCTGCTTTGCCCCGTCTCGTGTCCTTGCTAGTTGCCCCTGAGGGAGACCCGGATGCACCAGACATCCCGACCCCGCGCACTTACGCTGAGGCGATGGCGGGTCCCTACTCCTCTCAGTGGCAGACAGCCATGGACGCCGAGATGGCTTCCTGGAAGTCCACACGCACCTACGTCGACGAGGTTCCCCCTCCTGGGGCGAACATCGTCAGTGGCATGTGGATTTTCAGGGTGAAGCGGCCGCCGGGTTCTCCGCCTGTCTTCAAGGCGCGTTACGTGGCTCGAGGCTTCAGTCAGCGAGAGGGAGTTGACTTCTTCTAGACCTTCTCCCCCACCCCGAAGATGACTACTCTTCGGGTGCTGCTGCACATAGCCGCTCACCGCGACTACGAGCTTCACTCACTTGACTTCAGCACTGCTTTCTTGCAGGGCAGCCTGCACGAGGAGATCTGGCTGCGCCGCCCACCTGGCTTCACTGGGTCGTTTCCTCCTGGTACCCAGTGGAGGCTTCAGCGGCCGGTCTACGGTCTCCGCCAGGCTCCGCGTGAGTGGCACGACACACTGAGGACTACACTTGCGGCTCTTGGGTTCGCGCCTTCTACAGCTGACCCGTCGCTGTTCCTGCGCACCGACACTTCGCTGCCGCCGTTCTACATCCTCGTGTACGTCGACGACTTGGTCTTTGCCACTGCTGACACTGCAGGACTCGCCTACGTGAAGTCGGAGCTGTAGAGGAGACACACGTGCACAGACCTGGGTGAGCTGACAAGCTATCTTGGCTTGCGGATCACCCGGGACAGAGCACGGCGCACCATCACCTTGACTCAGTCACACATGGTGCAGCAGGTTCTCCAGCGCTTTGGCTTCACGTACTCCTCGCCTCAGTCCACTCCTCTGCCTACCGGTCACTCGCTCTCAGCTCTACCTTCGGATGAGTCCGTAGAGCCGAGTGGCCCGTATCCAGAGCTTGTGGGCTGCCTCATGTACCTGATGACCTGCACTCGACCTGACCTTGCATACCCTCTTAGCATCCTTGCGCGCTATGTCGCTCCTGGCCGTCACAGGAAGGAGCACATGGATGCCGCTAAGAGGGTGTTGCGCTACTTGTGCAGTACGTCGGGCATGGGGCTTGTGCTTGGAGGGCGAGACCGAGTTGTTCTCACAGGGCACTCAGACGCTTCTTGGGCAGACGACCAGGCCACTCAGCGGTCGTCTCAGGGTTACACCTTCAGCCTTGGCTCTGGCTCAGTTTCTTGGCGCTCTACTCGCTCTTCTTCTGTTCTCGGCTCCAGTTGCGAGGCTGAGATCTACGCTACAGCCATGGCTGCCCAGGAGCTACGCTGGCTGACCTACCTGCTGACCGACCTCGGAGAGCGGCCTCGTTCTCCTCCAGTACTGTACGTCGACAACAAGGCTGCCATTGCCTTGTGTGAGGAGCACAGACTGGAGCACAGAACGAAGCACATCGCCCTACGGTACTTCCTTGCTCGTGAGCTGCAGCAGCGCGGTCAGCTTTGTATTCGCTACGTGGCCACTGAGGCCAACACTGCTGATGTGTTCACCAAGGCGCTTCAGCCTCGTGACCATCAGCGCTTCTGCACTCTACTAGGCCTTGTGCCTACTGGACCTCATCTACTTACCTCTTGACTTTGCTTGTACTGTGATCATTATATATATATATACCTGCATGTTTACTCTTGCTAGGTTGTGATCACTGTATCTCTTGCTCTGTTATAAACCTGCATGTGAACTGGTCTTGTGACCACTAGCTTGTGCTCGGAATTTGTGTGGAATCCTTGAGATCCACCCTGAGCTTGTTGTTGCCTTGCTTTGCCTTGACTGGTCTTGTGACCCCTAGGTCTCCCCCACTTTGCCTATGGGGGTGTGTCAAACATTATACATGTTGTATTTGTGTAGGCTGTAGTGGGTTAGCCTATAGGGGGGTCACAACATTAGGGTTTCATATTTGTACTCACAATCCTTGCTAGTTCATCATTCCAGTCCGTTCTCGTTGACAGCCGCCGCCCGCCGCCGCCCCTCACCTTGGCGGAAGCTTGATTGTATAACAGAATAGAACTGAAAGCTTTGCAATGGAATGGATTGATTAACTGAATAACAGAACAAAGTATTTATTTAGGGAGCTAACCCCTTTAGGATGGTCATATGCACATCAATAATGCCGCACCAATACCGTCATACCCCGGATATAAGCGCCACCCGCGGATAAGCGCCTGGCGCTTTTAATCGGCGCCCGGCGCTTATATCCGGTGCTCGATTATAAGCGCACCCCCCTGAAAAAACTTGTTTTATTATAAGCGCACGTAAACTTTAAATTTTGAATTGTGTTCGAAACACTGTAACGATTTCTACTTCAGCAGGGGGATGTGTTGCAGATTCGCTTCCCTTCACATTCGGACCCTGCACTGGATGCGGGACCAGTCAGCAGGAGCAGTCAGGAGCTGTCAGAAGCTGTCAGAAGCTGTCAGGAGCTGTCAGAGTAGGTGTATCTCCAGCGCGCGCGAGAAATTTCACAGAACTTCGACTCGATTGGAAAAGGCAAGCACGAGATCTACAGCTTGGTGTTAAAACATATATAAAATATATATGTCGTTTTATAAACGCCGGCGCTTATAAATTTACCCGATTATAAGCCCACCCCCCCTAAAAAAACCTGTTTTATTATTGCCCCCCATGGGGGTATATCCGGGGTATGACGGTAATTCTACCCGCCAATAATTTTTACCCTCCCATAATTCTAGACTCCGATAATTCTGACCCTACAATAATTGTACAACTATTGTAGGAGCTGGAGTCTTATAACGTGTACTACACTTCAATCTAACAGCATATAAATTCTTCTTATGATTGTATTCTCTACACTCCCCCTTGCTGTAGTTTTTAGTGAGTTCAAATTTTTAGAGGATAGTGATACGTGGCGTTGATTGCGAAGTGAATTTTTGTCATGTCGTTGATAGCGGAGTGGATTGGGGTGACTCCTGTAATTCAAGATCACGCCAGCGTTGATCACGACGAGCTGAACGTCTGTGTAGGGTTGTCGTTTGGATCACATCAGGTGGGTGGTCAAAGTGCCGTGTAGCGAAGTTCTGCACGATCCTCATCAGGTGTGCACCGTCCTTCCCTGTCACGCTCTTTTTTCAGTTTGTCGCCTTTCACAACTCCCGTTTCTCCCACATCCCTCAATCCGCAGGGGTCTCTCCCTTCTAGTCATTCCCGATTCCCAATCTCTCGTTCAGTCCAGTAACTCCAGATCGAGGGTTTCCTAGCCATGGTTGAGAGCTTTCCTAGCCATGGCTGCTGCTGTTGCTGACGATTTTTATGGCGAAAATGATGTGTTAGGACAGAGTGACTTGCAGCAGAGCAAAATGCTGCAGCATCACAACATAAGCGTCATGTCGCGCGACTGCATCTCATGGCGAGCAGCTGCATTTGCGACGTCCTACAGTAGCATCTAACACATGTCACCTGCGCGTGTGGTGTTGCAGCTGCGTGGCGACAGCCATGTGCGTGACGACTTGCAGTACATGCGATGAGCAGTAGGACATCGCCAATAGCCAGAGCTTGACGGCAGCGGCTGATGCGTTTCTGCTGTGATCGGCACACCACTATGTCATCATGCGTGCCGCAACTTCATCTGACGTGCAGTCACGGATCTTCAGTTGCATGTGCGTGGTGGCAGGATCAGCTGATGACAGCGACGACAGTAGTTGATGACGGCGACGGTAGCAGCTGATGACGGCGGCAATAGCAGTGTGCACGCACTACGAGAGAATGCGGACGGCAGCAGCAAAGGCTAACGGCTGCAGTGGCATGTCGGAAGCGGCCCAAATATGTGAGTAATGTCCCCCATGCTCCAGTTTGCTCCACGTTTTAACCTGACAAGTTGACGGTAACTCTGTTTTTTCTTCACCCATGCAGGCGACTATCGTGAGGCTCTGCCTCCCCTGTTTTCACAGTAGCCGGCGGCCTGCAGCAGTAGCAGGCGGCAGCAGCACCTCTCGTCGTGCATCACTCTTCACTCTTTCTCCCATCACGGTAGAAGTGGCTTGTCTTCTCCGTTGACGAAGCACACAGCTGTTCCACTTTTACGTCAATTTCTCCTTATTGAACCCTATCTCCTATGTGTGTTCTTTATCACCATCTGCAGATGACGGACTGCTGCAGCCGCTGGCGGTGCTTGGTTGCTGGCACTCTACAGCAGCATTTGGTGGCAGCAGCAATACCTGGCTGCCTGCAGCTCCCCCTGACGCCCTGGAGCAGTACATGGCGGCATGCAGCAGTTGCCCCTTGTAACTGCTGGCAGACCGGGGGCTGCACCTCCTGCAGCTCCACCACGTCATGGTACGCTTCTGCAGCTTTAGCTCGCTTGCGTCATCATTAGCTTGCCTTCTACCATTGATCAGTAGTAGCAGTAGCTTATCCATTTGTGGCTGTGTAATCCTCCGCTCACCCTCCTGTACGATCTGAACGCCTTCACTCATGCTGTCTTGTTTTGCTTCCCCTGAAACTAACAGGTACACGTGTAGCAACGACTGCCCACTAATAGCAGCAGCTGGAGCACTCGACTTCACATCGTAATCCATTGCACACCAAGGTACTCCACACCCCACTCCCCTCTCACTAATGTGTTTTAGTCATGCACGTGTTCAAGCATGCACACAGCAACAAACACATGGGTGAGATGTGTAGAGTAAAGTGATATCCGGTGTGGCTGCACTCTGTGATGACTCCACACGGGTGAGTGCACTTGCATCGCCTTGGACTTGCTGATCATCCGCAGACGCTGTAGTTTGTGGAATCGGTTGGAGGCCGCACAAGAGGCTGCAGGTGAGGTGCTGCTTTGCTGTGATGGGGTTGGTGAGATAATCTGCTACTTGCTGGGCAATTGGGCAGTACTCCAGCCGCACTACGCCATCACGAACTGACTTCCGTGTCCAATGGTAACGCACTTCCATGTGATTTATGCGTTGACTCATTTGCTCCCCCATCGCGAGCGCAATTGCACTTTAGTTGTCCACAAAGAGGACATTCGGTTCTTGTTGTGGGAACCCGAGGTCTTAACACAATCGCAGAAGGTGAGTAGCTTCTCTTGCTCCAAATATTGCAATATACTCAGCTTCAACTGTTGATGTAGCAATGATTGTTTGCCTCATCGTCCTCCAGCTGAAAGCAGCTCCTCCTAAAGTAAACGTGTATCCTCCCATCAAATGACAACCTACTGCATTCGCATAGTCCGAATCTGTGCATCCTCTAAGCACCAACTCTCCTCCTCCGTAGACCAGCCTCACGCCCGCAGTGTTCTGTAAGTACTTTAAGACACGCGTAATTCCGAGTACAGTTGGAGCTGTCAGCTTGTTGGCTTGTCTGGCCAGCACATGCGTTGCATATGCTATATCTAGCCTTCCTACTGTTAAGATGTACATCGTTGTCCCTACTTGCTTCTGTCAACGGGAGTTGTGTGTTGGCCCCATCCTCGCTTGGGCGGAGCCGACTTCGTGGTCAGTCGGATGTGCGGGGAGCGCAGCCGATCGGCTGCAGTGGGCGACGCCGACTTAGGCACTGGGACACTGCAACGCCGCCGATGACGGGAAGTCGGCGGCCAACCAGACTTGAAGGTCGACGAGGAGAGGGGCGCCAACTTAGGGAGGGCGGCGATGTCGACCTGGGAGAGGGCGCCGGGCGCCGAGCTGTTGGGCGCAGAGCTGGGGTGACACCGAGCTAGAGGGCGCCGGGTTCAGAAGGTCAGCCTGGCGAGGCCAACCTGGGAGGTGCCGACTAGCTGGCACCGACTTTGGAGGACGCCTGAATTGCGTTGCCGGCGACCGACGAGCCTGGTCGACCAGGCGTGGTTGCCCATTCGACCGAGTTACCTGGGCGATGTGTGCGATGGTCGTCGGGGTGGTTTCTGCGAGGCCGACCTCGGAAGTGGTATCCCGAGGTCGACGTGGCTGGTGGGCGCAGTCGCTGGCGTGGTGTTTGCGTTGTGCGTGTGACGGGGCCTGGCACACCAACCAGCTGTGCGCACCTGCGAAGCGGGTGCACCATTGTCATGCAGATGCAACGCTGTGCAACTGCTGTGCTGCAGCGTTGGCACGCCGTAAACTTGCAACGTTGGTAAGCCGCTTCTCTGTTGTGCTGGAACGCGGTCGACCGTGCTGCGCTGGAGGTCGACCTGCATGCTTGCTAGCTCTGATGTAGTCTCTCTTGCCAATGTTGTTGCTATCATTCTGAACCATTGTTCTCAAGTTTTGCTAGTGTAACTTTTGCCAATTTTCCTCGTGAATGCGCAATTAGTGTGAACACGAGCAAACAACTAAGGAACGCTAAGATCCCTCACAACCCCGTGCCTTCCCCGTAGTCTACCTCTCGTGGCTTGAGTTATCTCCGCAGCTTCAGCACTTGCTGACTGTCAATCTCGTCTGGTGGCTCTCCTTGTGGTCCAAGTTCCTTGGTGATAGGCGTCCGAACTTCGGAACGGCTGCCTTCCATCCCGAAGTTCGCCAAAGCTTGTGAAATGTATTTTGTGAGTCCGAGTGAGATCAAGTCATTGTCAACAGCGACGTTGCGGCCCAAAAATTACATCATGGTCTAGCTGACGGTCAAATGAGACGGGATGAGGATGTCGTCAACATAGGTAAGCAGCCACACCGTATCTTTGCCATCACTTTTCCATATAAAAAGGAATGGGTCAGATTCTGATTGTGCTATGTTCAGCTCCAACAGCACTCCACGTAAATGCTGATGCCACAGTCGTGGTGCTTGCTTGAGTCCATACACGCTGCGACGAAGTTTTCATACCTTGTCACCATCACGATGAGGTTTGAGAGGTCGCACATACACGTCCCTGTCGATTGGTGCGTAAAGGAATGCGTTGGAGATGTGCAGCTGCACCACTTTCCGCTTCGTGATCAACGCGCCAGCAACGAAAATGCGCGAGGTAGGTCCTTGGCTGACTAGTGAGTACGTCTCATCGTATGTTCCCCACGTTTGTCCGCATCCCTTGACCACCCAGTGCGATTTAAACATATTTGGCGGTCCGTGCTCATCTCGTCTCACCCTTAAAATGACTCCTTCCGTTAGCACTGGTGTTCCTTTTGGTACGTCCCCTCTGTCCACCACTTCGTATGCTTCCAGTTCGTTGAACTCTGCATCTTCAGCGACTTGCCAAAGAGGTGTGTACGGGTCCTTGGTAATCTTGAGTGTTTTGAGCTCCTTATATGCCATGTCCACCATGGGAACGCCGGTTGCTGCACATCCTAGCACGTCCTGCTATAAGCCGGGAAGGTTGTTGACTCTCTGTAACTTGTTCCGGTCTATTAGTTTGGCTTGTCTCGCCTGTTGGTTTCCAAACAATACGTCTAGCCCTGTCATGCCGTCCATCGTTTGTTGTTCTTCTCCGAACACAGCCACCGTTATGTTCAAGTGAACCCGCCGTGGAGATGCATCTTGGCCAGCAAGCAGGATCCCATCTGGGTAGGCGAATTCATAAAGATGGCTCGCCTCGTTCTCTATGTTGTTTTCTTCAGCACCTTCAGGAACAGAGACGATTGTTGCAGGTAAGTCATTTGTTGAATTCCCTTTGCTAGTACCGGTTGCATCGGCTGCAAATGAGTCATCTTGCGCTGATTCCATAGTCTCATCTTGATGACCTCCTGAGGTATGGACTTCAGTGGTTTTGGGGGAGAAAGGTGATGATGACAGAAATGAGTCGAGCCTGGACCCAAATCCTTCTCCCCCTAAAGTCCAGCCATCAATTTGCGGTGAGACTTCTTTCATGAAGTGTTGTCATTCGAGTAGAGATTCAGCATCCGGCAGTATGAAGTCATCAAAGAAGCGGCCTGAGCGTGTGTCCTTATCCATGTCGCCTGCCAAGTCCCGAACGATCCATGTCTTACGAGCGTTGGAGAGTCCAAAAAACATCCCAGCCTTCCCAAAGCTGCTTTGGGGAGGAAGATAGTAGCAGAGGCAGCTAAAGGTTATCGGTTGCCTTTCCCGTCATCATGTAGTATGGTCAGTGCGCTGATGGATTGCTGTTGCAGCTGATGCGGTTGTGCAACCATGCAGCATGCTCCAGTGCATAAGGCTAGAACTTGGAGGAGAGGCTGGCCCCGATGGTCATTACCCGTTCGGCGACTCCATTCTGCCGAGGCGCGCGAGGTAAGGACGTTTTGGTGGCTGACGTCGTGAGAGCTCATGTAATCCTTGAAGGCATTTGCTGTATGCTCCCCCTTGTTGTCCGTGCGCAAGGCAGCCAGTGGTTTCGTGGACACTATGGTCTTCATCTCGCGGTGCCAAGCCGAGAAAACAGCTGCCATTTCGGACCGACGAGCCAACGACGCCACCCACAGGTAATTGGTGTAGCCATCCTTGAGCGTTAGCACATAGCAAAAGAATGGGTGAGCGTCAGCATCACCCAAGTCCATGATGTCACTACGCACGCGCTCCAAAGGTTGAGTTGTGCGCTTGTCGCCGCTTGTGGGAGACGGGGCCTTGCTCATCTTCCCTCGAAGGTGTGAGTCACACGGGGGGTTTGAGAGGGTTAGTCTTGTCGGATATGGAGAGTCCTTCAACATCTCCATTTCGAAATGTTGCATCAATGGATGTGTATGTTGGGTGACACAGGTGCTTGTGGGCCATGTGGTATGTAATGGATGCATGAGCACACTGCACATTCAGCCCTTCAAGACTAGGAGCATTCGATGCTTCATTCGGATGATCATGACCAGATTCATGGCCAAATGCAAGTGCAGGCTCATATTGCACCATCAGCACCCCATCATGATCATTCCAACTCCAATGAGCACCCACTCATCTTTATCAGCCATGATAATCTCCGTTTGCCTATCAGCATGTGTATGAATCCTTGCTCCCTTGTTTTATAGCTGACAATATGACAGGAGGTTGGACTTCAGCCCGGGTACATAGAGGACTTCAGTCTAGCGAACCGTTGTCCCATCTGGTGCTGTTGCTCCAATGGTTCCCACCGTTGTGCTCAGCAACTGGCTCCCACCAGCAAGCTCAACATACACAGATTCGTCTGGCTCCTCTAAATCCTCAAACCAGCTCTTATCTGAGGTCATGTGTTGGCTGCATCCGCTGTCCAGCAGCCACAAGTGTCCTTCCGGCATTGGTAAGGCCACTTGCGTCGAACGAGTCGTTGCAATGCAAGTGACAGTACACTTTTGTCTCCCCCGGCTTCCCCTTGTTTTGTCATCGCTCCATTGTCTCGTTTGGGGCTGCCACTCCTTTGAGGCGAGGTCAAACGGCCACTACCGGTACACTGGTTCATCTTGCCTCTTTTGTGGTTCCCACCCTGGTGGTGACCATCCCGATGGTGCCGTTGGACAACTTGTAAAATGGGTGGACGGTTTGCTTGCAAAACCAGCACACGAGACCCGAGCGTGCTTGCAAAACCAGCACACAAGACCCGAGCGTCTGTCCCTTCCATCATTGCCCCTTGTTTTCTGTCTACTTGTTAGTTGCTGCCCTCCACTCGACCAACCATGCAAGGAGGATGCCGGTCACGATTGGTTTTGGTGATAAGATCTTGGTAACGTTGCTCCTGAATCATCATCCGC